AACCATCACTGCTGATAGAAAATTTAATAAACTACAGAAATGAAGACAAGGAAAGATGTAACATGCTATTGCTAATGCTAGTGGTGAGTTCATTGTATGTAATTTCTATTTTTTTCTATTCCAAGGAAGGGGTTGCCAGTTTTTGTCAGTATTCACTGCTTTAACGTTTGGAATGGCTCCATTAATTTAACAGATTGATTATCTTTTTATTAATAATTACTTGTTGTCACTTTGCTTGGGGAAATAGCAGGGCATTCTTTAAACATTAGAGACTGGAGAGCTAAATTTCACTGGTGACGTGTCTCAGCTTTTTTTCCCCGGACTTGGAGAATGTTCACCCATTACTTGAAAATTGATAGATTAATTTTATTAAAGTAATTAAAAACTTGATCATTGCATCAATGGTTTTTATTGGCTTAGTCACCTTGGGTTATGAGTCATACCATGCTCTACAGATATGGCAAGTGTATACGTCAGCTCAAAATTTAAGTGGAGCTAAAAAATTCATTTATTAATCAATATTTTGGGGTGTTTTTAATTCAAAAAATTAATCCCTTCGTGCTGGTTGGATACGAGATGATTATAGCCAACTTGGCCCTACAACTGTTCCTAGCTATCCATCCTTTCATATCCAACAAGTGTAAATGGAATAACTGTTTAATTAATATACATTGTAATTTATATCATTATATTTATGTGGATGTATTATCATATTTAGGCATCCCTGGAATTTGCAATTCCTTCACTGCTTGTTCAGCAAACCCTTGATATTGCAAGACTTCGAAAAATAAGGTAATTAATTTAAATCAAAATTTATTTTCTCTTATGATTGAGTCTTACTATTGACATCTCAAAGCTAAATTTACAAACAAAAAAGGCTTCATATATTTGTAGACTGGTTTGGTGTTATATCAAGGTTTTTCATAATTAAATTTCTTGATATTGAGTGTCTTAATTGTTGTAACCAGTTTACATGACATCAAATTCAATTTGTTTTTGAGGATAAATACATGTAGAAGTCAAATGGATTAAAATTGCAAGCGCTATTGTAGTTGTGAGGATTTGATTTTGCATTGGTTCCATATTCCATGATTTTCAGAATTCTCATTACTTCATTACTTGACATTGAGTTAAAAGAAGTGTTATGATCTACATCTTTTTGGAATTCATTGGTTTAAAAAAATAGCAAGTGCTGTTTTTCAGTTTTTGGTAATCTATAAGTATTCATTGTCTGTTTTCAATTTTGTTTTTCAGAAATGTTGACACCATGGATGTGTTCATGCTCCCTCGGGATGTCAGATGCCGATTGATTTCTTT